TCACTGATCGACGATCGATTTCGTGCTTACCACGATATATTTCGCTGTACGATGATGAATGACTAATAATTCACGATGCGGATCGTGCTTAACAATAAAAAAATAAAATGATTCTAAAGCGGTCCATTCCAAGTATACAATATACATATACAATATACGATATTTAGGAATATAAATATATTATATTAAGGCACTCCACTACTGGCCGATATATCCGCGACTTTATGGTCTTTTTTTTTCGTTACTTTTATACAAAGACTTACTTCACCTAGTTCTCCTGCTTCTTTGCTCGTCTGCGCACGCGATACAACGTCCGAAGCGAAGAATTAAAAGAAGAAAGACTACTCAATCCACGTATATATATATATATATATATATATAATTCGGTCACAACAATAAATTAATTTCTCTCGTCTTCCGAATCGGATCGATGTCAATTACGTATGTACAAGTTTGAACACATTTTCGCGATGGATTTCTGCCACCATTCCCTTCCTTCCTTCCTTCCTTCCTTCCTTCCAACTTCTCTTCTCGTTCCCACGTGTTCTCTCCTTCGTATTTCTTTACCCTTCTTTACCTCGACATTACCCATCGATTCAAGAAATCGGGTCGAACGAGGATTTNGCAACACCGTTCGGATCCAGTATTGCGCGCCATACTGGGACCAGCCCATCGTGAACCTTCAAGATCGTCCTCAAAGGTCACCGTTCACAACGACATAGGCAACTCCGCGGGCCTCTTCACACCTAACGTCAGGTCCAACGGCTTGCTCTTCGTCGTTGTCTCCTCTTTCGCGGGGCTGTCACGATCGCACTCGACGTCGTTCGACCTATTTTCCTCCTCTACCGATTGACTTGGTTTAGGGGAGCTTCGCGTCGATCTAACGCTCAGATCTATCGGCTCGTCCTGCTCAACGGCTAGACCACCTGGACTTGGGCTGACCAGAAGAAGATCGCCGCCTCTGGGAGAGAGTTGGGACGCCGCTGGTGTGATCAGACCCGGTGGCGGGTATATCAGGCTCAGGCTGGAATGAGGATGGAAGCCTGTCGTCAACGTGACGGTGGCGTTGATCTTCTTCGCCGGGAACTCGCGTTCGGACAAGGTCGGCGACGAGGTGCTCGCCTTGAAGTAGCTCAACGCCGAGTTACTCCTCGACTCGGTGTCCTGGCCATCTCCCCCGTCCACGGACGACGCCCCGCTGTCGCTCGGGGTGTCCGCTGTCCTCTTGTAGGTGGGTAGGAAGGGTCGAAACACGTCCGACGGGCTGGTAGGGACACCGTCCTTTTGCGTGAAGTTCATGGGCAGTATCGGTGAGACGGGATGCTGAGGTTGCTGCTGCTTGTAGAACGGCGGCGTCAAAGTGTCCCTGGGCGGCGTGCCGGGCGGCTGTTGATTGCCACCCACCCTCTCCCGCTCTTTCTGCCATGCCAACAGGCGGAGCTGATTCTGCAACGCCACGTCGTCCGGATGGGGGGACTTGTTCCCCCTGTCCCGCTCCTGTTTCAACATCGCCACGTGCAACAGGTGGGATTGAAGGGCCAGGTCTTCTTGACTAGGTGAGGCTCGATCCTTCCCGTCCTTGTAGATCCCGCTAGCTTGCTGGCCCGGTGCCTGGGGCAGGAATCCCGGAAGAAAGCCCGGCCCAAACGGGGATGCGCCGCCCGACGTCACGCTCTGATTCCCGTTCGTCTGCTCCTGAAGAAGGCAATGGATCTTGAACCAGTTCGAACGACGGCCGTACCGCGAGCCGGATTTCGACATCCCGACCATCAGACATTTTCGAAGGCGACACGCCTTGCACGCTGTACGGTTCTTCTTGTTTATCACGCACACTCCCCCGTTCTTGCATTCGGATATACTGCCTAAGTTATTGTAGGTTCTCCCAAAGAAAGACTGCGAACAGAAGAAAGAAAGAAAAGCTTGAAGGCTGGCATTTGCTTCGGTTGCTTTCGTTTCAATTTCAATTTATCATTTTAACATAGGAGGACCCCGTGTACCATGATAGCGTGAATATATGTATATAAATATATAAAAGCCAAGATTTCTCTTGCTTGGATTAAACGTCAAGTTAATGTTACGCGTCTCACGGGAATTAGCACGACGAATCCCTCTACGGAAGGATGGGGAAGGGACGAAGGCATGATCTACGAAAGGGTGGATAGGTGGATGGTGGAAGATGGAGCGTTGCGCGCGGCTGGTCGTAAAGTTAAACGCCTGTCGGCCGACGATAAAACCGCCTTGAAAGCGGCGCATCGTGAACTAATTTACGACGCGGAGACCTCTCCGTGTTCGAGCTTTGCGCTAATCGAATGTCCCTCGTGCACATTTTCTCCTTTATCAACCACAAATATTCGATGAAATATAAATATTATTACATATTATTACACGTATAAATAATTGCAATCCAAAATTTACTTCTCTCGCGGGAGAATCAGTTTTGTATCGGAATTAGCGTTGAACTGGATCCAAATGGATTCCACGTGTCATCGAGAAAACACTTCCACTTGATGCTACTATCGCGTGGGCGTTTTAACGGTACACCAGTTCCAAACTGGAGATCGACCAATCATCCGTTAGGTATCGATCCGTGTGCCCCAAATTTAACTTTCGATATAACGCGTTCATCAAAGTATCCGGCCGTGTGTCATCGATGAATCACTCGGTGTTACGAATAACCGTGTATCAACCAACTTTCTCTCTCTTTCTTCCCCCCGAAACGATTGCAACAGAGTCTCAGGCTCGACAAGAGATCCACGAGGCGTGAGATGATCAGGAGGAGAAACGTGGAATCGGAAGGATTTTCAGTGGCGGCAGATGGCGTTGATTAATCGGCTGGATTCAGGAACAACGGCGAACGCCTTGACAAAGTGCTAAAATGATGAAAGCGGGATGAAAACGGATCCAAACGGTAATCTCCTGCGATCTTAGAGGCTCAGGAGAAAGAAGACTCCTGGTACGCCAGGTGATCCTTGCCTGTCATCGAGACTGTGTGCGAAAGAGGTCACGGTGCCATCGAGTTTGCACGCGGGAGATAGCGCTGCTTGGATCTCTTCCGCCTATGAAATACACAGTTGTTCGGGGATATGATGAAGTATGCGCGTGGATGGTAAGTGGTTTGTGCGGCTGAGCGTTCGTGGGATTTGAATTATCGTGGAATTATTAAGGCGATGATGATGAGCAAGAGAATGATGGAAGAGTCTGTTTGAAACAAGTATCGCGTGATCTTTTTTTTTTTTTTTTTGTGAAAATCTAATTTTGCAAATGGTGAAAAAAATTGTTATAAAAATTGTTTGATGATAAAAGTCTAAAAAAGTATCTTTACCTTTTTAATTTTCTTCAAGTATATAATACAATGTAGCTGACAAATAGTGATGTACGATTCGATTGAATTATTACTTCATTCCATTTATTTAATTTATACAAGAAATTAAAAAATATTGTAACCAATTGTAACTCTTGTAAAATCTGCATAACGAATTAATAAATAAATTCCAATTGTTACTAAAGTTGAAGAATGAATTAATGAACTAATGATGAAACTGGAACTATTATTGCTATTGGTAATCAAGTTGAAAAATTTATTCTATATAATATTAAATTTCATCTTCCAAAACAAGCTACAAAACATTATTAATAATAATCCTGAATTACCAACACGATTTAAAATAATAGTTACTATTCCTGAAGTAAAAGATTTTATTTTTATATAAATAAACTACTAAACAAAATGAAATCAATCCTAATCCATCTCATCCTAAAATAATTGATAATATATTTGATCTTACCAGAAATTACTTCAGATTATCCTAATAATTTAATACCATCTAAAAATCCTTCTTTTTTTTCTTGAATAAATAAATCACGTTTCATGAGGCGATTGCGTCGCACACGGTTCAGTCAGCTGTGCTTGTATATCACGACCATAGACAGAAAAAACAAGGTGGACAACAACAACAAGATGGATTCGCGAGTAGACATTGCGCAATACTTCGCGGCGTTTTTCTTTTTTTTCTTTTTCTTTTTCTTTTTCTTCTTTTTTTTTTTTTTTTTTTTTTATTGCCTGTGCTGGTCCTGATCGCGAATCACGTATCGTGGACACCAGAAAATCAGAATCAGACAGGGGGAAAAAGTCCCTCCGACTTTGGAGCGAGCCATTTAGGGCCTCGACCGCGACAAATCCGTCATGGACAGATCTCGAGATTAGCGCAAATCAGCCGGCACGCCCGGAATCCCGGGCCGATTTGTAACGCCATATAGAAACGCCGCCGGGGAAAACGTTTGTCCGTGATCGTGAACGGCCGCGGACCGCGGGAAAGCTTAACAAATTGCCGATGAAAAATTCAAGAGGTCGTTCCTTCTGATCGGGATATCTGGTGAAATATATCACATTTTTTGGACAACTTTATTTTTAATTTTCATGAAGAGAAATTATCGTAAAGTTAATTTTTTAAAAAATAGTATAATTCTGAATTATATTTTAAAACAATTTAAAAATTATTAATAATAAAAATATATAGGAATTTACAAGAATACCAAAAGAAATATATTTCTGTTTGACGCTATTTAACAATAACAATAATTCCTTTTTATGTAAATAATGGAAGAAACCAATATATATATATATTTAATAAAACAGAATATTAATTTCGCCAAGAATATCTTTATACTTCCGGTAATTGTCAAACGAAGAATATTTGAATAAAAAAAAAAATATATTCCCCACAATATAATTTATACTTCTCAATAATTCCCAATTATCCAAAAACATTGTACAATAACCTCGTTCGATCCAAGAAAAATGAAAAATAAATTCCACGAGAAGATATAGTATAAAAAAAAAAAAAAAAAAAAAAGTGAAAAGAAACCAGGGAATATAATTTATCGTTCTCGCTACTATAACCCTACCATAATTACCCAAACATTGTACGACAAATTTGCTCGCCAACTCCTTCCAAAGGAAGGAGGAGAGGGAGGAGAAAGAAAAAAAACCGTACCGAAAAAAGGACTGAGCCAACAACTGAACCGCCACTTCCAAAACCGTATATACAGAGAGGTACAACCATCCTCGCACTCGCGTTTGTACGTTCCAAACAACCGCCACGTTATTAACTCCCGATTCGTTCGGCCACCGTATACACCGATATATCGCATCCATATCGGTATTAATCGGCATTCGGCCAGTTCCAAGTATCGGCCGGAAATTTTCCCACTGCCATTTCGGTGCACGGGCACGAAAACGGTACAACGGCTGGTTGTATGTAACGTTGGCGCGGGCCCCC